AGCATAGTTTGTGGTAGAATCTCCTGCTTTCCTGATCTTTCACCATCCCAGATTGTTGATTACTTGAGGTTTCATCATTAGCAATGAAGCAGAAACTCTCTAGAGGCTACAGATACCTGCAGTCCTTCCATTAAGGATATCCTTCTCATCTTAGGCTGTGAAAGATGCATCTCTTTTTCATCAGAGAGGTTTCAGCTAGTGACTACTTAGACATGCTATTCATCCTGGCTTACACCATTTTTGACCTAGTCCTAGCCTTTTATTCCAACTCTTAGCTGAAGCTAATGACTATGTCAGTGGTTCTTACTAATTTCAATAATTAGCACAGATCCTTGCAGTTCTTAAATCCATAATTAGTTCAGATTCATTGCTTCATGTTAGCCGGAACCCCAACCACTACTTTAAATTCCCCAATGCCAGCCTCAAAATATGATTGACAATGTGGTCTCCATCACTTAAAACCTCAAATTAGTCTCACTTGTTTCTTCTAGACCCGTCTTTAACCTAAATGGCTGTTTCTTTCATTTCCTAATTTAAATTTTAAATCAACTTTAACTCTGCTCTTAAGACTAGACCTTGAAGGACACATAACTAGAACACCTGCACTGGCAGTAGGTTTCATATAAGCTCAACAACCCCTGCCAAGGGCAGAAACAACCCACTTTCACAAGTTCCTGCCCCACTAAATCTTAATTAATCTATATTGGTTTCCCTACTTTCTGTTTTATCTAGAACTGAGCATAGTTTGTGGTTCCCTCTAAGCAGCAGTATTAAGCCGAGCTTGATGGCCACTTCTAAATCCAGTATTGACTCATGGTCTCAGCTTCATTTTGACCCAAGTCCTGAAGTTAACCCTAATGACAAAGCTAACTCAGATTTAAGCTCCACTCTGAGTGCATCACTACGGAGAAAGCATCAAACTTTCCTGAATTAACTAAGTTAAACACACCATGCAGACCCTACTGGCAAGAGCCGTAAGCCAGGCTCAGCCATTATGCAGGCTCATACAACATACTAGCCTGAATCCAAGCCCATAAGCCCAGTTATTATATTATTCCCAAATCCTACACACAGAGTTCATCATAAAAACTAGATGCATGCCTGCTTCAGACAGGCCATTTAGAAGAGCTTTACAGGCCCTTATTTGCAACAGTCATAAGGCCCATACTAACCAGCCCACCCCAGCCAGACTCCATTCCCAAAGCTAATATAAAGTTTGATCCAATCCCTAGGGGTAGATCAGTGATTCCAATTAAACCGTAGCCCACAACTACTCATATGAAAGGCTGTTACTTACAACCTGGGGCATATCAGTCCTAAAACTAACTCTATCTCTTCCCAGTTATCAAAACCAGGTAAGGCCTCCTGCATTACCTAGATCTAATCACTAGCAGGCAGCCTCAACAATTGAAATTTAGCTTGGTGGCCACTTTTATTTTAGCACAGTACTATTGGCTGCTGTGGGACTCGCGGCGTGTAGCATCTCATCTTTTTCCAGAGGTATGACATCAATGGCCTGTATTGTTACTCTGGCTTCTACAGATTCTTGTACTTCTCTGCCTTATCTTTGATTCTGTTCCTAACAGATTTGGTTTCTTTAGTGATAAATATCTACTTTTCCAAGAGCGATAACATCTCTACAGCTTTTCTTTAAGTGCTCTGAGAGTAAGCGGCTTTAGTCATTGTTTCTTCTCTGGACCACTTGATGCATAAGCTTAAATTACTCAGTTCTGATCCCATGCTGAGGGAAACAGCACTGTGCTGTGTCATATAAAGCATCTGTTCTCATTCAGCATATCTGCAATGAGGCTGTGATCTTCTCATATAGAACTTACATTTAAATACATTTCTGCCGAATGGCTCATCTCTACCCACTGCACTGCAGGCTCCCTTCCTCTCTGTGACCACCGACCACTCACGTACTAAAGGGAGACAGCTGGCAGGATGCTGATCTGACCAGTAAGATGCGTTTGGCATGTGGGATGACAGTATGATACAAAGGTTTACTTTTTACAAGTAAATTAACTGTGTTTTCACCACACATTTAAGAGTAAAGGCAAACTTCCTTTTGCTAATTTTGGAGCAAAATTTGTCTTCAGATTCAAAGAACTGCACTTCTCCAGCACAAACTATGTAAGTTTACCTGTTGCTTGTCAGGCACGGGACAATGGCACACAAGACAATCGCTTCTTCTCCAATATTGTTTCACCTTTGTTGATTTAAATTGGTTTAGAATCTATTTTACTTCAGACGTAGAAGCAGATTTGACCTGTTCATCCACCTCTTGTGCCTTTTCTACCACCAGTTCAACTTAATTTATATTGGCAAATAGATCAAAAGGATGTTATTTTTAAGTTTCACTGTATTTTCTTTTCAGAAAAAAACCAGCATTGTTTTTTCCTTTAGGCAATATTCATTTGAAACTGATTGTACTCAATATCTACAATTTTTTATCACAGATTTTCTGGCACTTATATATTAAAACCAATATATTAATTCATCCACAAAAATGTAACTGAACTGAGGAATACAAGACCGCCAAGTGGCGACTCCATTGATTGCTCATATTGTTTAGTGTAATGCTGCTACACTATCAAAGGTAAAAATCTTTTGGGGTATCCACAAAAGCTATGAATGATTTTGTTTCCCACAAACAAAACTTACTGAATTCAACAAACCACATATTTGACTGAACTAATGCGTCATAAAATGGAAATTTCTCATTTGGTTTTTCTAGTTATGTTTACGGGTTTGTTTTGTCCTGAAACACTATGAGAGATTACTCTTAACTGTCTATCTGAATATTTTTTTAACTGCTCTTTACTGGTGACGACATGCAATTTACAACAGTGTGATACTTCACTCTACTCTGTGTTTTGCAGCCATCACGAGAATCTTCACATTTAATGATATAATATTGTTTATTATCTCAGATAAAGTGCAAATAAAGTAATTTATGCAAAAAAAAAAAAACCCACAGTGCAAAATGGTTCACATGAAAAAAAGAAAATGCCAGGAAATGATGCATATAAATCACATATGAGTCACTATGTCACACAAATTGTGCTTTTTATGTAGGGCCTGATGGACTAAGACCCTGTCAGCTAGTGGCTGCCTACTTTCTTTAAATACTACCCTCATGTAAGTTCAACAATCTAGAAGTTTCCAGCTTAAAGCAGTTATTTATGCCATGCCATTTGTCAGCAGAGCGAGTCAAGCATTTCAGGACAGTGACATACCCCTTACCTTCATACTCCCCTTCCTCATCTTACCTCACTTGGAATGGGACGGATCTATCTCTCTTCATTAACTATAGAGGCGACCGTTTAGATAGGGAACTTGACTTTATAGGACTAGTTCTGAGTAATCATGAAGAAATAACTCTTTGGCAGTATTTACTTCACTTGCTGTGAAGCATTGCCCCATAAAGACTTGTTTGAGCAGCCTGTATTACCACTACACATTAATGGGAATTTTTGTTGAAACCAAAACTTTCATGCATCATTATGGCATTTTTGGTCACAACATAAGACTTCACCCTGAATTAGGAAGCAATTAAGCTGGAGCCTTCTACACCTCGATTACTGAATTATGGTGTCTCATTGCTGCATCAAGTATTTCATATCAGCAACTATTAATAAACTAGGCCAGTCAATGCTCCTTATTAGTCTTCTGCTGCAGCAAGTCTTCTCATGATAGAAAACACTAAAGGAAGTTATAAAGGATTAGAAATTGAAACTTCATCATGGCATCATCCATTTTCTTCCACCAAAAATACCCTACTATTTAATTCTACAATATCTAGCATATATTCAATGGACTGAATGGGAATATGGACATCAAATAACCTCAGAAGACTGGATTTAAATCCAAATCTGAATCCGATGTTGGGACAATATGATTTAAAAATAACACCTGTTATTTCACGAGTGTGTAGCAAGAAACTTGTTTTGTAAGTCTGTTCTCTTCTCTGTCCTCTTTAATAGCATTAGTGAAGATTCTTTTCCTGGCTTCTCCAGAAACATACATAAATGCATGTTTATATACAGAATATCATGGCACTTGTAAAATATTTTATTAAAATACCTGATCTGGAGGGTTGTAATATTTTTTAATCATCTTTACTTCTTTTGGTCTCAGTATACACAGTTGCCCTAAACCCATGAAAGCTGATGGACATCTTTTTGTGGATTTCCACCAGTAGACATTTTGGGTTCATACCACGAGTGATTTTGAAATCTCATGACATTTTGTGACATAGCTTCATTTGTTTCAGTTATCCAGCTACAGTAGCAGGCTACTGCAATTTAGTTAGCTTATTATATTTGCATGTTGTGTTGGTTTTATTTTAAGAGAAAGTGGTTTATTTTAAAGGAAAAAAAAATCCCCACAATATGTTTTATTTATTTCCTGAGGACTTTCACATACACAAGTAGGCACTAAACATTTGAAATTGACTTTCCAGAGCACAACAGTAAAAAACTTAAGAATTTGGCTTAGTTTCATTTAAAAGAGTAAAAATTGACCTTGTAAACATTTCCATAGGAGGTAGGATGCATACATTTGACAATCTGTCAAATAAGAGAAAGTAAACAGTTACTCTGTAATCCTAATAAATAATGAGCAACACAGGCATTAAATAAACACTTTTATACAAAAAGATATTAAGTGAAAGACTAAAATAGCATTTTTAATAAATTAGAAATAGATGTAATAATTTCTTTACAACTTAGTCTTGCTTGCAAGAATCACTGGTTCTTTCTGATCACCCTGAATTTCTGACTGAAAAGCTGTAATGGTGAGAACAATCCTGAGTGATACACAAGCAATCTGAATATTGCTATTTTTTTGTGTGGAGGGCTGTTAATATCTCTAAAATGGCTCCTTTAACACCTAATGTAACACTTTTCTATTCCTCTGACTTGAAGGAGACTCTCATCATGGCCTTAATGTCTGGATTTGGAAAGTAAGCTTAAGGCACTGACATGCCTCTGACATGTTCAGGTTCCTCCAGCAGCTGCTCCCATGAAGACAGTGTTGATTGGTGGTAAAGATGACACCATATCTCTGCTTGGTGGGCCATGGGACTCTAGATTTTCCTGAGAAGGGAACTGATCAGATGTTCCATACATACACTGGGAAGAAGATGTGGTTTGCAAGTTTGAAGCTGTGGGGAAAAAAAAGGTTACCATCATTGCAAGTTTTCTATCTATTGAGTTTAACAAAAAACACAATCCAGTTTCATCTGACGGAAACCCTTATCTACCAGGCATACCATCTGAAGGACAGAAATGTTGACACTTCTGTACTTTGTTCAGTTTACCTATACTTCTATAACTTTTCTTCAGTGCTCCTCACGCCATTGGGGAATAGGTCAAAACCCACGTATAAATGAACACTGCTAAAAATCCAGCTACAAGTCTGAAGTCTACAGCATGCATATCAGCCATCTTAGATTAAAATTGTGCAAAGCTATTTATGTGCACTACGCTCATCTTTCTATACCTTGCACCATTCAGGTCGATATTCACTGGTGGTACCACTGCCACCACCTGGCACATATTAACATAGAATACAGAAGATACTTGATGGGAACAGTCTCTGTATGGTGTTGCAGGGCTTTCCCCCCTCTTTAGCATCCTTTAAAGAACTGAGCACTGAATACTTCCAGACCCTTAATGAAGCAAGTAATGTCTGATCATCTGTACAAGGTTAACAGCTAAGTAGTAGGAAGAGGGAATCTTGTGGAGAAACAAATGGTGCCCTAGTTTATATCTTCCATGTAACACTTTTTGGAATGTGAGATCAAACTCAGCTGCCATTTGTTTAATGCATATACCAAAGCAAACCCTTTGGGGTTAGGTATTTTCACCTAAAATTTACCGTCAGTGGGAGCTTTGCCTAACACACACGGTTGTTGAAGCATAGGACAGGAAGGGACTATGCCACAGGAAGTATATAATTTGACAACCCTGACCCAGGGCTCATTTGATCTGTTTGACAGTGAGGATCCTTAAGAGATCTTAGAAGAGCCCAGTCCATTATTAGCTCACTTAATAGTTAGAAAGTGTTTCCTAATATGGATTTTTCTGCAGCTCAGGCTGGTCATTCCATACCTCATGGACAATGGATCATAGTTTTCCTTATGGAAGTGAAGAATTATTAAACCCACTGTCCTGACATTTTAAGGAAAACACACCTTATGATACATCCTAGGTAATGAGCTATTTTATCTCTATATTGCATCTCATACACTATATATGTGAGCTACATTTAATACTCAGCACTTGTTAAGACGCTGAAAAGTTCATAGCTCTTCCTCAGTCATTGGCCATACTTACGCATAGGAGTCCGACAGACAATTGAAGGTGAGGACTCTGTGTAGTATGAGCCTGCCTGTTTTCTTCCGCTGTCATCCAAGATATTTAGTGGATCATGTATATCATTATATGATGGCAATGATCGAATGCTGCTTACACTGCTGATTACAGAGACATGTTGATCCACCATTGTTCCAAGCCTGTGAGTTTCTGGATAATTTATATTGTTTCCATAATATCCTATTGACAGGAGATCGGAAAAAAGCAGAGTGAAACTACTGTTGAAGGGAAAGGGTACGGTAAGAGCCTGTGACAACCTGGGGCAAAAGGTAATTGTTATCAGCTGGATCCCTTGAGAATAAGATTGTTTATGTACACATACAGACTAGTAACATTAGTAACATATGCAGTGATTGACCCAAAAGAGGGGTGGTAAAAAGGGAGCAAAAAGATCCTAAGAGTTCAGTTATGTTTTCAGTATGGAATCGCCCTTCAACTCTGAGAATCAAACAGTAGCCTGCAATCAGTGGCCATGAGCGACACCATGGGGACTCCTATCCACAGTTCAGTGCTCCCTTCAGAAGCTCACAAAGAAAGTACACTTGGAAAGAAAATATGCATGGTAATACATATTTACTGCATATACAAATCCATGTAACAGCAACATTTTCACTGTCATTCCTCCAGAAGAGGGAGGATTTTTTGTTGACTATATCTCTGAAGCAGATTGTGGCAGTAACTTTATATTTGAAGTATGAGAAATATTAGGGCCAATGTCTCAAACGAATGCTAATGCACCTTTTAATACTTCTTTTCATCATCCTGACCCTGTGAGTAGAATGGTCCATTATGCTGATCCCAGAGGTAAGCTACCTTATGCCTGCTCTATTTCATAGTAGATGTTTCAGGGGCTTTTCAAGAGTGTTAAAACACAAGGTCACCGTGGTTTTGCTTCCTGTGTGCAAGACATGGTAATGGTGCCAAAGGAAGATTAGCATAGGTGCAACGGATGCATTTGAGGTCAACAGGGGATTCACCAGAAGAAAATAAATCCTTAAGTAGCTTGTTAAAGTGCTTTACAATCTCTGTGTGTCATCAGAGAAGTAGAAAACAGGAAGGTATAAACAAGAGCTCAAAAACATCTTCCACAGAAAAAGCAGAGAAAAAGTGTTTCACTCCAGCAAGGAAAGAGAAACAGAAAAGAAAAATAAAATATATATTAATACCGTTGGAGGCATTAGTGGGATATGGTGCTCCTGGGCATGTAGACACTGAGTTGCTCAAGAAATTGAAACTCCCAGTATTCAGAAATTGCATACTGTGTGTGTCCTGAGGCATGGATGAGGGACCATAGCTGGAAGGAGATCTGGCATCGTACGGAGACACAGCACAACTGTTGCTGAAGTAGTCTCTGGAGAACTGCTGTTCACTGGAGGCACTGAATCGGCTGTGCTCCACTCTGTGGTGGTAAACTCCTGAAGTGGAATGGGCCTGAGTTCTGAACACGGCCTGGTAACTGGCATTGTTTCCATAGTAATTCTGATTAGTTTGTGACAAAGTCTGATAAAAGGGTTCTGAGTAGGAAGAGCACTGTGAATGTGTGGGTAACACTGGACCTACACTTGGAGGTCTCACAGCCATTGGCCCCTGGTTGATTACACTTCCTCGGCTGACCATGGCTGGTGAAATGGGTGGAGTCATTAGGTGGCTAGTGCTTTGAGACAGCTCCATCTGACCTGGAATAAATAAGCATTAGCTGTGATTAGCATTCACACTGCAGTACTGCTGAATAGAGCCGATCTGTTAAGACACTAAACCTCTATTGAAGTGTACATTACCATTTGAAACCTTTACAAAGGATATGCATTGGCTCCAACCTATACAACACACCTTCTTTAATCCATGGAATCAGGCTATAAAGCTTTCCACTTTCATTTTCCAGCTTGGAGGCTGCCACATTCAGTAGGAAATTACAGCAGTTACAAGCCTCTTGTGCTCCAGGTGTTACTGTTCATTCTCTCTTCACAAGAACCTCACCAAACCAAGAGGTATAGAATAGTTTTATCATTGTTCCAAGAGGATCTATTACTGGCAGGCCTCTACAATGGCTGCCTTCTGTAAATCAGCACAGAGGGTGAGCTCATGACACGTTATTTACTAGTGGTCTTTATAAATGCATATGGTCATTGCTCCTCCTACAGCAACATGTTACTGTGGACTGAAAAACTAAAAATCAAATAAGAGACGAAGAAACTAGAAGAACTGATACATACCAGTCAGCTGTATATTCTCACTGTCTCCTGTGTCAAAGGGGGTCAGAGTAGAAGGTACACTGCTGGTCTGGCTAGCTGACAAGGATACATAGGTTTGCTCTGCTAGACACTCATTTTTGACTGAAGTGTCACTGGGTAGAGAAGCAGCTTTGTTGCGATTTGCTAGGAAGCAAGAGCTTGGTGACGCAGTAAAGGTGGCTTTGCTTGCGTCTGAAAAGAAAGTGAAAACTCTTGGTGACTGTTATGTGTGCTCATTGCACATAAATCCACCACTATTATATAGATAGCATATGAGCTGCCCAATTTCTTCAGATCTTTGGCTGCTTATTTTAAAACCCAGTGAAGCCTCCATATTTTCCACATAGCCAGTGAATACTATTGCACTAGTCTTGATCTGTGGAAGTGTTTCTATCATATTCCCTGACCACAGAGCTACACCACAGAGTAACAGCTCCTTACTGAAACCACCATAGCGAAGGTATGAATCAGATTTTTTCACTTGAAGTATATGTCAGCAATGAAGTCAAGTAAATTGCACTGAGGGAAACAGGCTCATGCCCCTTCATCCTAAAGAATTAACAATGGGAATTTTAGGATGCTTGAACTCTATTTTCATACTGACATCTAGAGAAAAGCATTTGTTATACTCAGTAGTTCTTCGGTTTTTTGCAGACTATTGGTAAAGTCAGCCGAAGTTTTGCTGTTCTTCAGTGGAAACCATGACTTTACCTTATGGTTTCAAGTTCTGCACCTCAGTATCCAAGGCTAAGGCAACAGCTACATAGGACAAGGTTTTTTTTCCTGAAGACTGAACTAAAAGAAAAAGCACAGCATCTACTGTCATACAAATTCTGTGCAAGTTTCTTGCAGCAAAGTGCAGATTTAGAGGAACAAAATATAATTCAGCAGAACCCACACAAGTTTCACTGGGTTTTTAGGTTTAACTCAGACCATAATTTGATCCAAATCAATCTTCATTCATTTTATCACAGAGGACCTGGAGCGCATGACTTCAAACTGTCTAAGCTTGAAGAAGCTTGGTAGATGGAAAATGTTAAGGATACTGTTTTAAATTCATTTAGTTTCTCTTTCACATATAATACTTCAGCCAGATGTTAAACAGGACTCCAAACTTTTGTTCCAACCTTGCAAGGGTATTTGCATTTTGATAACATTTAATACATTCCTAGTTCAAGGTGTAATCACATATTTAAGCTTTGACAGAAAAACTTTTTGGCAGAAAAACCCTTTCTGCTACTTATACTTCTTTTCACACTTCAGCTTGTGCCCCTTCAGATGTACATACAAGTGTTTGTTGCATCTGAGATAATTTCAGTGATCCAGTCTATTCACATTTCCGCAAAATGTTATTAAGCAAACCACAGTAGGAAGGTGCAAATGAATTGCTGAGTGAATGATCACAAGCTTTTCAGGTGAATCTGACAGTGTTGCATATAACTACACCTTCAGCAGAAGACAGTAAGCCTGTTTCTGTTTAAAATTAAACTAATAGTTCAATTTCTAAAAATACAGGAGTACATTCAAAAGAACCAAGCTCTAGTTACCTAAATTCTTCATGTATTTGTCCAGTAGATTCTGGAGTTCTTGTTCTTTGTCATTGTTGAACTGTGTCTCCATGGCAAGCAGGATGTACTCATCTAGTAGCATGCGGATCAAATGAAAAGAACCTTTGGGAGGAGAAAGAGAGAGAGTAGCTGAGTTATCTTTGTGACCATCTTTCACCACTCTACAAGAAGCAAGTGAAACAAACAAATAATTGTGGACTTTAAATGACCTCACAAGACCAACAAGAAATAGTGCCTAACTTCTAGCTCTAATCTCTCTTTGCACTGACCCACCTAGCTCAATTGTTTACTGTCCTGTAGGCTATTTGACCACTAATTACATCAAAGAAAAATACTGATGAAAGTGAGACATGCTTTATACTTGAAGAGGGCACACAGTAGAGCTAGATAAGGCTGAAGTCTGCTAGAATGCCTCTGCTCTATTTCTGTTTGCCTTGTGCTAAATAACCAGACAATAACTGGTGAAGTCTTTGACCTTATTTCAAGGATATATCACATTAAAAAGTGTGTCTCCTTACAGCCCTTTCAAATACCCCCTGAATTTAGATAATAATGTACCTACAACTAAAAATTTCTAAAGACGGATATGTGAACCTTAATTTTTAAAAACCACAAACACTGTTGAATTGACAGTCTGCTAATCCCAGAATTAAAGGAGTGGTGATCTGCCAAATTCCTTTTGCTTTTATGAAAACATGTCATGCACAAGACCTTCTATATAGCAGTATTTTTTTACCAAACTGATCCACACGTAAAGCTAATAATTTAAATCTTCAGTCTCTTACACTGAGCTATGCAGTTACACTTCCATCACCATATCAAAACAGAGCTTCTAGCTCTTAAATGGCAAAGCAGAACCCAATTGTTACCCAAAAGAAAAATTAATTTGAAAAAAGAATATGTGACACAGGTCACCAACAAAATATTACCAGCATTTACTATGAAACATTAGTTTGAAAAACACATTACACCACATTAGTGGCTTTGATCAAAGAATCTTTAGAGTAGGACAGGTTCCTCTGCTGAGGAAATGGTGGAAAGCTGGTAAGTGCTAGCAGATATGTACAAAATACGAGTGTTTTCACAAAGCCCAGGTACCAAAACTTGACGCATTGTTTAGAGTTAGGTTATGCATCACTCGAGCACCGAAAAAGCTCCATTTGAGAAGGAAGTCTTGAGCTCTCTTCTTTAATGACCTCCCATTTTGTTTGCTTGCCTGAAAGAGAATAGTAAAATACTGTTAAGTACGCTAACTTGCTTTCTGCCTACAGGAGAAAAGAAAGGAGAACTGAATATGCTTGAGAGTTCAAGGAGTCCTTGAACTGATGTGGCAGGGTGGATCGGGCTGCCTGATTCAAGCTGTCTTCATAATGTGTGTCCTAAAGTGATAAAGAAGAGCATCATACACTCTTTTCAGTGCAACCAGAGTAGAGCTCTGACAACATTAGATAAAGCAAACCGCTTGCTGCTTGGGCTCTGCTGTGCCCTGAAGTTATATAAATTAGCTCATATTCTAGTATTAATGGTGACAAACTATTCTGTACATTCGCAGGAAGGCAGAAAGAAAAAAACGCACCCGCTGGTACTATGTTGTTCCACATAAACAGGGAACAGAAATTAGTCTCTGTACTTTAATGTAATCAGTATAAGACTGGTCAGACTTTCCCTTACTAATTGGTAAGTGTACTATCATAACATTGATGTTTTTAATGCTGCTCATTTCATACTGTCACTTTGCTCTCCCAGTGATTTCTTTGTGTGGTAATGTATGCCTTGTTGCTTGCTCAAACAGCAAGCAGAAAGAAGCTGTTGTGTGAGTTTGACAGCAACCACACTTTAGCATGAACTGAAGGCAGACAGCAATGGAAGGATTAGGTGTTCTGTAAATTATTAGCTTCTGCTTAGTTGACCTAGCCTCATATCAGGACTTGTTGGTATTTCTTACCCCTAACTACAGGAAAACAATGCTAGGAACCATACCTGTTAACTTCAGTAATACTCTGTCACATAGCAGATGCTGAACGGGAGAGTGCTTCACCTTTTCTGCCTGGCTTGATTGTCAGGAATTGTCTTTTGAAATTGTGGAATCAATTTTAGACCATAAACATTCAGTTCTAAAATAAGTTGTGACTGCTCAGCTTCAGTGGGAGTTTTGTGTCTAGGTAAGTGTGTATGAGGACTTGCTTTGGCTCTGCTGCCCTGAATCATCCAAAGCTCCTCACTGTGCTGCTCACATACGACAGCAAATGTTAGGAAACTCAGAGTGTTTTAAAAAGAAAGAAATTATCACTGTCTCCATTGAAATTTAGGAAAAAAGGTGAAGAAGAGAAAAATGACATGCCTATGGTTATTCTGTAAGTGGCAAAGTCACTCTTCTGCAAGCCAGTCAAAGCTAACTGCACTGTCTCCTCCTCCTGCATCCATTTATATCAAGATGCTCCCTAAAATGATGGATAAGATATTGCATGTTCAGACAGAACAAGACCTGATGAGAAGATCAGTGTTCAGCTACTAGCAAGGAATATGTAACATTTTATTCTGCTGGTTTATATTCATTAGAGTCACAAACTGGGTAAATATCTCCTACTTGAGCTATAACTCAGAACTCAATTTTTTTGTTCTGAGCTACAGGGTAATCATTCCTGTATAACTACATGCATATAAAATACTTGTGATGATAAAACATCTTGTAAATCAGGGGAAAAAACCCCATCAAAACCACCAATTAACAAGTTAAGCACCTTATAAAGCTACCAAAACTGTTTCTTCCATCCTGTTCTGTAGACATCCTTCTACAGGTAAGCTACTTCTGAATTCATCTGCTACATTGATTTATATCACATACAGTATCATTCAAGTACCATGAAATAAAGAATCGCTTCTCTAAGGAACAATGTTTCCTCACCTTACTCACTGGGCAATATCCCTGTGATTCTGCATGCACAGGTAAGGGGGATGGGTTTCCTTCAGGTACAGTTTATGACAGTGCTGACTTTAATGTTTTAGTCAAGATACTTCTTAGTCTGTCACATACATAAGACTGTTCAAAAGCACTCGACATGATTAATTAGAACTAACAGCACTGGAACCTTTCACACGAAATTAAGAATTCCTGTCACAGTAAGGAGATGGGAGCAGAGATGAGAATGTGATGTGGGAAACCAATAGCACTGCAGAAGTAAGGGACTGTCTCAGGAGTAAGGGGAATAGGATTTGGTCTTAAGTCAGGCAGAACATTTGAAAGGTACCTTGATAACCCTCTGCTCAACCACAGTATCCAACCATTCAATAAATGATTCCACAGTGGCATTCTTCTTCAGAAGGTCCTTCAGTTCTTGGAACACGGTAACAGAGTCATCTACCATGTAAAAAGGAGAACACATCATTGCAAGCTATTCTGAACTCAGAAAAAGCCACTCACCAGCCATATGAAAATACTGTAGCATGGAAAGGAAAAGCAAGGAATTAGAGCAGTAAAGAAATGAGCAATTACCCAGCAAAGCAAGCAGACACACATCCATCACACATATATGGTTTAATGGCTTAAGCCTTACAATGATACAGGTGGTAAGACAATGAGACAATGAAGTTTTACAAAAAAAATAAAAGCAAAAAAAAATTCTGATATTTTCCATTAATTTTAAGATTCAGCCTTGAAAAGCTTTCTACTACTAAGTTTAGTAGCAAAGCTTTATCTGTAATGTGGCAGACTTGTATACCATCTTAGCTTTCCCTTATATTTTACAAGTTTCTCACAATATAATATAAAGCTCACTTCCCCAATTCCCATTTTTGAAAAAGTGCCTGAATGACCAGTTACTTCTCTTCTCCTTTTCTTTTTTTAACCAGTGTGAAAGAAGATAAAGAACAGAATAGAAAACAATTACACAAAAGTAGGAAATGGGCAACTCAAATGAAAATGTGAATAGGATTGTGAACCATTAAAGAGAACAAACTTTCATGACCAAAGTAACAATATTTAGAAGATAACACATTGCTATTGCTCTCTTTTCAGCTCTCCAAACTCTGATCAACATGATTCCTATGACAAAATTTATCTTTTTAATAGAGAAAATGGCTACATCTTTTTTCAACAACAGGTATGTATGCAAAAATTAACACCCTCAACATTTTTACTTTAGTCTACTCTATTCTGTGTACAAAAATAGCTGTTACACTTTATAGAAAATTATGTATTTTTTTAAAGATCAGCTTTGCAAAAAAAAATCTGTTCCTACCAAGAAAGCTAAACTAGCTCAAATATCCATTAAATTAAGCCATAATGATATAGAGTTTTTGAGACATCTTTCAAGTATTGATCTGTTCTAATGTTCCCATATGATTAGGACAAAACTTCAAAAGAGATTTTATTACACTCAGTAACTGACATGTAAATTATTTTTTCAGCAACCATTTAAAGTCATCTAGCTGAGATGACTACCCAGCACAAGCTCCTGTTCTTGCAGGACATGCTAGGGCAACCAATTGGTTTTCTGAAGCTACTGAAGTTAACACTAAACCAGATTAGAGAATGCAGTGTGTTTGTGTGCCCTTTCTCAGTCTGTCTCCAAGTAGACTAATGTGGCATGGAATGAAAGAGTGAATTACTTTTAGTTATACAAATATATCACTATGGACTTACATTCACTGTAGACCTCCCCATCAGGCTCTGTGCTCCCTGAGACTGCAAGAAGTGCCTGAGAGCCAATACTATTCAAATCAACTTTTTCAATATCTGACACCATGGAATTCACCACATGCTGATCAAAAAGGGCTGGTCGAGCAATCTGTAAGAGAAGGCAAGGTGAAATGCTGAGTCCCTGTCACGGTTTAACCGCAGCCAGAAAAGCACCACACAGCTGCTCACTGACTCCCCACTTCCCAATGGGACAGGGGAGAGACTCAGAAGTATAAAATGAAGAAAACTTGTGGGTTGAGATAAAAACAAGTTAATAATTAAAAAAAAAATGTAAAGAAAAGGGAAAAAAAACAACTGAGAAAAATGCAGCCCAAGAAAGACAAGTGATACAAATGAAAACAATTGCTCACCACCAACCGATGCCCAGCCAGTCCCCAAGCAGTGGCCCCTCTGCCAGCCTCCCCACCTGTTTTATTGCTGAGCATGATGTCCTATGGTGTGGAATGGAATACCCCTTTGGTCAGGTGGGGTCAGCTGTCCCAGCTGTGTCCCCTTCCAACTTTTTCTATAGCTCCAACCTACTCACTGTCAGGACAGTGTGAGAAGCAGAAAAGGCCTTGACTCTGTGTAAGCACTGATCAGCAATAACCAAAACATCCTTGTATTATCAAGACTGTTTCCAGCACAAATCCAAAACATAGTCCCATACAAGCTACTATGAAGAAAATTAACTCTATCCCAACCAAAACCAGTACAGACCCACACTTGGGAATCACCCGAATAACTCCTTAGAGAAGAATCATATTCTGTTTATTTTTTCTTATCATAGCTGAGCTTTTCATAGATCAGATGAGACAATGTTTCCCTTCCACTAGACTTCTAACACTGTTTTAATGCGCCTTCCTATCAGATCATCTTCATGCTACTTCTGCCTTAACATTTATGAAAGACTAAGTCAAGATGAATACGTGGTATATCTACAGTTATTCATGAGGCCTACCACCTCAATGCCCAAGCTGCTAACACGTAAGTTCCCTGAGAGGCATCATATCCTTCTGTATAACCTACCAAACCATCACATTGAGGTGCCTGTATCCTGCCAACATAGCCTTGGAACCCTCAGCTACATTTTCTCATTTCATTCAAAACTCAAAAAGAAATAAGGTCACTAAAGGACATCATGGACAAGACAGCAAACCTTTGCTAGGCAAGAAGGATCATCTAATATTTTACAATTTGGAACTAAAACAAATAGCCATATATTCCACTTCATCATTTGATTGCCAGAAATTTCCATTATAGTAATTCATTATAACTATGGTCTTTTCTCTAACACAAAAGGTTAAAGTTTTGGTCAGATTTATTTATGGATGGTTAAACCTTTCTTGCATGGTTAAAGCTACAAGATGCAAGTCTTCCAGGGCTGAAGTTGAACCCTGAAAAAATAATGCATTATATCTCATAGTCACAAAGGTGCACTGAACGTAACTGACAATTTTTTGAATGTATACTCTTATGCTGTTTACCTGTGCTAGGTGTAGGAATGATGTTTGTCGTTTCAGGGAGGAAACAAATCTGCGTGCAATAGGCAGTTTCTTATCTGTCAGGATTTCTGGTAGATTTTCCAAAGAGGAAACAACCCACTGCTCCCAGTTTTTTGCAAAATTTCTTATATCTGCCAGTAAACTATACGGGGGAAAAAAAAAGTGGTTTAGAGAAATATAAATAAAAAATTGTCTTGCATTAGTTTAAATAATTGGGTTCCAATCTATGATTAACAGACTTCTGGACATATCTGTGAATTACTACTCAGGTGTCATCAAAAGGAAAAAGGAAATGACCAATCATCAAAAGGCTAAGATTTACTATATATTGATCTGTACCTCCTCTGAGAAAAAAATTGCAAGCCATTGGCCAGTTGAAATAGGTTGAAAAAACACTAGCTTTTAGAATAAAATATAAGAAATCCAAGAGCCAATGAAGATATCTGAAGTTAACACCTTAGTCAGGCATAAAAACCCAAACAGGATGCCCTTCAAGGGAAAGGAAAGATGAGAAGGTTCAGAGATAACTTATAATAATCTTCTTATTAATGTCGTGTTGAGAAAAACCTTAGATTTATGATGATGTGTAGGATACAAACCTGAAAAGTATTTTTCCTTAAACAATACATTTGTTTCTTTTTTTATCTTCTAGGGCTTTAGTGGAGAATAAGCCTATTTCAAAATATCCAAAAAGCCAGTAAAATGGGACTTTAAAACACTGTAATATTTTAAGGCTTTTCTATAGCTGTCATCAGAGCTCACAGTATTCTGCCATACATACTCTACTCTTCTAAAAATGAGCATAAATATTGTGAGAAAATTTCTCTAGGATATAGAATTTCTGCTATTTACCTGGAATATGCCTAACAGAATGTAGCATTATTATTAACTGTCAAATACCTACCTTTCTGGCATTTCTTGCATTGTTGCAGGGATGAGTACATCTGTAAGGACCTTCAAAAAGGTAACAGAGAACAATATTAAGCTTCCACTGGCCATTTACTCATTCATGTCTAACTTTTCTACTTAGATGGCAAAGTGATAAGGACTGGAAATTTATACAGAATGAAGTAATTCAACCTGTTGTCCAGATATTTATACACCTAGATTTCTCCCATCACTATTAAGACAGGAACATGAGAGAGATAGATATAACTAGATAGCTCCTATTCTTAATGTATGCCAGCATGCCAGTAAAACAAGAAGAGTTATCACTCATGTCTTACAGTAGGGAAATCAGTAGAAGTGAGATACATAAACACTTTGTCTTTTCTAGCATCACTGTGAGTCTCAGCAGATACTTAAGAATATCCCAAGTCCCTGAGTGCTATTAGCCACTTGACACTTCTTTCTGCCATACTGCATGTGACACTGAAGGTGTTCAGAGTTTAGGACAAATGCCCTATAGCTAAGTGTGGTGTGGAACTGTTCTGGCAAAAAACTGTGCCATCTGGCATGCCTTCTGGGGAATGTTATTGTGGAGGGCAAAGTTGTTAGACTATATCCCAAAAATTTGTTTCCAATGCTAACATAAATGGTTTGATAACAACGCCATAAAATTCCTCCCTCTTTCTGGCAGCTGTGTTGTCAAGAATATCTAACATGATTGTAAGTGAGAAATAGTGAAAGACAAAGAAGAGGCACAACAGCAAATTTATGAACTTTTGAGAAATTCTGTCATTCAGTTTCTAATTTAGCGACACTGTAGTATTTCTTCTTCTGTCACATTAAACATTTATTACAAATAAAGTTAATATTTGATCTATTGGGACAGCGTGTTTAGAGCAGGAAAAAACTCATAAACTCAAGGTACAATATAACCTCTACAAGTAAATGAGGCTTAACGGTTCATCTCCAGGGTAGTAGTTATGATCTTTGTTGTTAATTACCTTTACTTCACTCTGCTAACTAAAACACCTCTTTTTACTTTACAGCTTGATATGCTTCTAAGAAATATGTATTTTCACATTTTCTGGATTTTTTTCCCCATATTTTTGCACAGTAACAAATGGCAAATAGGTAACAATAATGCACTCTTGCTTTGACTGCTTGGTGTTTACAGTTATACCAGCTGTTAATAATGTTCTGATCTGATTTTCCAAATTAAACACTCAGGAAACTTTGGTGGCATTCCTTTTTTTATGTGTTCCCCAGTGGTCTATCACTTAATCCTGATGTTGCAATACTCCTTAGTTTCATTTAGTTTCATCTGTTTGTGTGATCATGCTGTGAATTAGTCAAAGAACTCACATGGCACAAAAACTCTGCAAAACAAATGGTCCTTAGATTTTTCATTTTTTAAACCCAAGCCAGTTCAGAGTGCAGCAGTTTTGCTGGTACATCTAGCAGCACAGGAACAGAAGTGAAGTGTAGCAGGCAGGAGAGGCAGGAATATCTAACCCAGTTATTGTTCCAGCTCTGTAACATTAAACCAAGGCTTGACATAACCTTTGAGTAGCAGATTCACATGTGGAATCACCTCCCTGATCTGCCACAGACTCTCTTTGATGGTAAAAATTGCAATAATCTGTTAAGTAAAAACAAGGCTTCAGTTTTCATCCAGGCTTAACTTGGAGTCATCTTTGTCAGTTAAACACATAAGCATTTCTTTTAGCTACATTCAAGCAAGTAGATCAAGATTTCACAATTAATGTGCTGCCTGTAGTCAGACATGAAGTGTGCAGCAGAGCTGAGGCTGGAGTTCAGTTCTTACATGTGCCAGTTTTATGTTCTTGATTTCTGTGGAATCCTTGCTGATTTACACAGGTAAGAGGCAGAAAGCAGTCATGGCATCCTGCTATTCTGACTTCAACACTGTTTTCACACAAGCAAAAGCTGTAATGTGGTTGAGATTATCCATGTAACTAAATGCTTAACTTACCTTATACAGTATGGAGTCACAAACACAGAAGATGTCAACGATGATGGGATTTTCAAGCAGGGGAAGAAGATGGTCAGGCATTCCTTGCCAAAAATGTAATAAGAAATGCTGAATCTAAAGGAGTAGAAACCAGATTCATGGACATAAATAATGCTTTCTTGGCTCCCTGTGCATATATACAGAGAATGTGTGTTCAAACAACCTTACCTCTTCAAAGTTCCCATTAATTGCATTGTCAAGGACACATTGACAGTGTGTTTTGTACATCATGATAAGAGTATCTACCTATTTTGGGAGAAAGAAAGATTAAACAGAGTTTCTTAGCTCTCTACTGCTATAGTGATTTTGGTTTCTGCTTTCTGTAACTAGTATTTAAATATAGAATATAAACTGTATTACAATGCATATTAAAAAACAGGCAGTCTGTATATTCAGAAGTGATGAGGAGGTCACTCATCTCTAGTTTTTACTGACATCTTTAAGTCTCAATGCTGTTGTCAGAAATGTAACATCTGACTCTATATACACTGAAAATGTAGATATCAAAATAAGGCAATAGGTAGATTAGCCAGTCAGATGGTAAAGTAAATTCACCCTTCTGAAGCTAAGATTAATCCCAAAGAGTAGTGCAAGTTAATCATTAGGCTACTATAGGCGTCTATGAGTGTTCTGAAACATCATCTAGTTGGACAAATGAGAAAATAGCTGCCAGCCATTTGGTCAAAGTTTAATCACTGCCTTACACGAACTGAACTTTAAAAAGTAGAATTCCCTTTCATCTCATCAGGCTAATTTATCTGAGTGGAGTGTTCCCTTATTTTAATAACTGTGCAAATGTATTACAACACTTTGGAAAAAATGGTAGCATATTTTTAAATTTGTAGCAAATTAGAAAACAATAATTTTGTAAGGTATTTTAAGGAAAGAAAAACGCAAACAAAACCATCCTTGTGGTCCAGAATCACAGGAAGTTTGTTACAGCTTGTGAACTTCTCCAGCAAACCAATATCAGGTTTAAAATGAACCTAGTACCACCTTGTTTCAACAGGTTTAGTATACAAATTTCTTTGAAAATGGATCTTGCTGTAACTACATATCTTTGAAAAACAATGGCAAAGGGTAAGATTCAAGAACATTTTAAAGAGTTTTTTCTTGGAAGGGATTGATGGAAGCTTAAAGTTTGGGTAAGTCTTCTTCAGAAGCATAAAATGCAGAAAATATCAATCTATTTTAGTGCAGATTGCTACATTTATGGACACCACAGAGATTTCAGTTGCATGCAATTTCTTAGGAGTTGAATGCAGGAGTCAAGATTCATGTATGGGCTTTCTTCAACAGAGTACCTAAATATCTTAGGTTCAATAACCTTTGGTCAGACAAGCTGAAGGAGGGGAAACACAGTAAGGGAAGAAAATAGGAAATAAGGGAACAAGGAATGAGGAAAGTGCAGCAAGGAAAGAGAGAGAGGGAGACACACAGAAATCAATCTCTCTTCCCACCATCTTCTCATAACTCCATGAGTCTGTCCCCAGACAGAGTCACCCACAAAGCCCTGCTGGCCCCTCCCATCATCTGGTCCCAACATCAGAGGAATTTCATGCTGCTGACCCAAGACTGAAGAGAAAATTACTTGCATCTTTTTCTTCACTGTTTAAGTGGTAAAATTCAGTTTTGCTTACACTGCTGTTGGGTCTGCAAGGATGCTCTTCAGATTTACATGTTATGAGAATGCTGTATATATGAGAGATGTCAATTCACTGATGAAGACCATAGCAGCAGGTGATGCACACTGCTGAGTTCTTGGACTTTCTTCAGGAACTGTAAGATTTCCAGCTAAGATCTCTTTACTGCAGACAGATCCTTTGGTTTAGCTCCTCACCAACAGGAATCCTAGACTTCACTACTTTCACAGAACAAACTTAAGAGAAAGGGCTCATAAAACAAAAAGCTTTAAAGCAACATATCTCAAGACAGCCACCATCATGACCCATACTAGAGACTAAACTGGAGAGTTCACAATGTGTACCAAAAGATTCCTAGCACAGTTCAGGGATGTAGCAGTCTGTAACAGGACCAGAAGCAACACCGACGTAACACACCGGCAAGCAATCAAACACACAAAACACATGCCAGCAATACTTCTAACTGAACAGCTACCCTGAGGATGAGCAACACTGACTATTGATTTGAGGAATATGATTTTAAAAAACCCCATATGCTCAGATTTTCACACTATCTTTTCAAACAATTAATGAAAGAGTATAATTCATCTAATTATTTGTTGGGAATTATTTGTTCTGATCTAATCAGAACAAAATTTACCCTAAATCCAAAGGCATTTGGAACGAATACAACTCTCAGTTGTTTGTCTTGCTCTCCCCATCTTACATACCATCAGTTTGTAAAATACTAGGTCAGTTAATAGGTAAATAATTCAACCACCTTTCCAGTGGAAAGCCGGTTAATCGGTGTTAGTAAAGGTTTGCCCCCTCTATAAATCAGTCACCTCTGTTTGATTATGGACATTTCTGGCTCTTTCATGTCAATACCTCAAAGGCTAAGATATGAAGAAACATTCTTTGTCAATTTTTGATCTGTAGGTCAGAAGAGAAGTAGCTCACACTTTACCTTGTCTTTAGAAATGCACGCTTGAAGCAAAAGGTGTTGAGCACTTGGAAACTCTGGGAGGAGAGTTCCAGTTTTAGAACTCAGAGAGTATTTACGAGTGAAACCACCCTGAAAGGGAAGTGAAAACCAGGAACATTTAAATGGCTAATATAGATTTAACCAAAACCAAAAATTCATGCTGAACTTGTATATTGTCAACATTTCAGAATATTTACTTTCAGATAACCCTTCCAAAATACTGATGCTTACCCAAATCTAGATTCCAGCTCAAGAAGGTAATTTAATATGTGCCTAGATCTAAACTCCACCAAATACAGTTTTCAGAATCACACAGTCTTTGAGCTACGTTACTTAATGGAATTCTACAAACTTGGAAGTTAAACTGTGTTTAAAAACTAAAGTGGAATACAGACTGTTGCTCTCCTCTACAGTATGGACTGAGGGAAGAGCATAAGTTTTATTTAATAGGTATCTTTTTAGTGCAAGGATCTAGGGTACTGGTGATATTATCGTTCTCCCTTTCTTTCTTCCTGCTCTGATAGCACAGCAATAGTGATTTCTGCTGCTTTACTATGGTAATCACTATTTTAGTTTATCATAAAGTTTGACTATATTTTATAGCATTATGGATGTCATGTTATGTAAGGTCTATGGACACTTCTGAACTATGTATTCATTATATAGCTCTCTGTGATTTTGGCAGACTTGTCATGAAGGACCAGAAAATATCTTCCAGTTCTGTGTCCTACTGTATTAAAATCAATATGCACATAAACACATGTACCAAGAGCTTTGTAGGAGAGCTGCATGCTCTCCTGCGGCATGCCACTGATTTTAGCTGGCTTCTTCCTGCTCTGTTGAAACAGCTGAGAGTTTGGCCATTCACCTTAGAGAGACTAGACCTTGTTCTGTGAATATTTTTGGAGCATTTTGCTTTTGTCCAAAAGGGAAGAATAAAACTACACCCCTTAGCACAGTCACATACAGCCATAGGTCTACACAATCTAAAAAATCCTACACAGAAGCTCAGTCCCAAAGTTCCAAGTCGGGGGTCACAGGCTGAGCCTGGAAAGAGGAAATACAGTTTCAAAGGGACTTACAGGAAGGCAATAAACAATTTTTCTCATGCTAATGCTTCAGCAACAAAAAAGGCATCTGTTAATAAGATCACCGTTTCATATCTCAATAAGAATGATATTCCCAGCTGTTTAGTGTTCTCCAGTTACTTTGTTGAGACACAGTCAATGCTGACCTGGAGACAAAATAAATTTATCCTGCATTATATTAAATTCTGCTGATCTGAGAGCTCCCTGAAGTTATTAAGAGTTCTTAAGCCTCTTTAGTTTGTGACATCTGAAATATCATAGACATATCTTGTACTAGTTACAGACTGAGAAAAGATCTTGAATAATATTAGATACTAGCCTTTTGAAAGATGGAGTTGAAGGACAAAACAACAAGTAGCCTCATATATGTGGATACTGAGCATGAAGCAATATATGATAAATCAGCCCTTGTTTAGATTCCTGCCACAATACTCTCACAAAATATGATTTAGGCTACTTCTCAGTAAAGCTGAGCAGTAACATTCTGTAGTAATACAGTGTTACTATGCTTACATTTATAATGCACACTGCATTATGCTTATTAAGCTCTCAAATGATAATAATTAAGATGAAACTCTCATCCTCAGGAGAAGTAATAAAATCTATATTATGATGCTGTCCTTACTGACTGAATTGTACTTAAAATCACTTGATTGCATTCAAGCCTAGAGAAGGTTATTTGGCTGAAACCCTTTGTCCCATTTTAGTCCACCTAGTCCTTCTGTTAAGGCAGTGTACGGAGCCTTGAGCAGGCCTTCTGCATATTCCTGCAGTGAGTCCATTATTTCTGTGTGGGTTCCCTTTGTACTAACTGATGGAATTTACAACTATACACTAGGCATTTGAAAAGTGTTTGAAATGGCCTCTTCCTACCCCTTTACACACAGTCAAATTTCACTGAAGTAGGAATAGTAGGCATATAGTGTAACATATAGTGTAAAAGTGTGCAAAAGGGAGTATTTTCCTACAAATGTTGACTTGCCAGTCGGAAGACAGTTTCAAGTGAAATTCTCTCAAATACTGAATTCAGAAAACTATAGCTGTAACTGACTCATTCACTATATATCTACCCCCGTTTTTATAGGGTGATATGTCTGCCAAAACAGACAACAAGAAATTAAAGCATACATTATGTAAACACACTTTGCCAGAGCTATCTACTATCCAAATACATATAAAGCTCTAAGTCAAAGAAATTAGAGAAAACTTAGAAACTTTAATACTTCTTTGTGTCAATACTTTTGCAGTTTTACAATTGCCTATGAGTAGCTTTCATTTTTTTTTAATAACAGGAGTAATATCAATTATTTTATTATACAATTACCCATGAAATATATCAAAAGCTCTCATTAAAGGGGATTAGTTCATTTAAAAGAAGGCAGTGATGGTGGTGGGAGGTTTAAGAGAAGATAATCTACAGTGTTTTTTACCTTGCTAATGGAGTTACACGACTGTGCCTCACTTCTAGGCTTAATATTTTAACCCACAGCCACTTGCCCTTTCAATTTAATGCCATCTGTTTCTAATGGCTATTTAACATTAAGATAATGACAGTAATATTATCTGCCTAATTAACCATGCAGACTCTAATGGTGTGCTAACTGGTTTAGATAAAAGAATTTGCTGATATCTCCCCCTACAGAGAGAATACTAGAAAATGTGATAAAACATACCAGAAGTAAACAGTGTCCCTGGAACTCAATAAGTGTTCATTCAAATGCCATTTACTCAGTATATTTAGACAATCAGTGCTTCAACATCTTTTCAATGTCTTTATGTTCCTACTGAGAATTACACCTTATGCAACCATTGTAAATCTATCTGGAATACCTAATTGCATGTACTTTCAAGCAAATGAATAAGGATATATTACCTGTTCACTTTAATGGAAAGTATGCTGACACATTTTCAGTAGGTGGAGATTGTTAATATTCAGTTTTGACCATGAAAGCTGTTTTTTTTTCTTTTAAGACCTGCCTGAATAATTTCAGACAACACAGAGACAGACAACCAAAACTCATACTGATGTTTCCTTTCTCACTTATTTCCACCAACTTCTCTGTGATTCTTTTTTTGGGAGGACCAAGGTATTGAACTTTGGGGCAGAAACAAGACAGGTTTATGGGACGGTCAATTTGCAAACAGACTGTGAAAGCCACATCAGAGATGGAAGTCAATGTGCATTCTTTTATGCCAAGGGAACCAGAAATTTTCCATCTCAAAACTCTGAAAAAATTACTTCTGTAGCAGTTCTCATGAATCCTTGGATATGTTGGGAATATTCTATGGCATAGCACTATCTTTTTTTTTTTTATATAAGATAGCTGATTATCTGAACAGGGAAAACAGAGCAGATCTAATCTATCTGAACCTCACTAAAATACTTGACGTGGTGTCACTATGGGAAATTATTAGTTATGCTGGTAATAATGGGGATTAGTACAAGAATGTAAAATGTTTAAGAAACTGACTCCAGTTGAAATGCTAACAAGTTGTGTTGACAGGGAAACTACTGGGTTGAAAAGGGACTGAAGTGAAGTTTCTCAAAGATCAGACTTGGGGCTGATCTCGTTAAACATTTCATAGAGTAAATTTGGTGATATGAGCTAATGAAATCATCAATAAAGAGGAAGACCAAGAGGTCACTTAGAAAGATCTGGATGGCTTTGAGATAATGGCAATAAAAGGGATGAAAATCAATAGAGCGAAGCTACACTCTCAGGGACCAATAAGAATTTCTGCTATCAGCTAGGAGTTGCTTATCTGGAAATGAAAAAGGAGAAACACTTGCTGTGTATCAGAAGATCACAGAGGGTATATTTGGTCTGGTAAATTAAATGGTGTCAGGAGATGTTCCTAGACAATACTAGAACAGTATTATTCAGAATGGCCCCTGGCATTCTTTCGGCCCATGCCAATTAGCAGTCTCCCAAACAATTCCTAGTCATGCTTCAACAGTTACTGCATGCTAGGAGCTTTTCGCCGTGGCAGTGTGGCTGAGATGTGCCTATGTTGTTCTGCAGGATTAGGAGTTTAATAATATGGACGCAGGCTATTCCATGCCAGTTGAACTCAGTGCCAAAGAACAATCCTGGGAGCAATCCTGAACCATTAATGTGCAATAATCCATGATTTTCTAGTATAAATCTGACCAGAATGACAGTGACGATACCACAGTATACAATAATGAAAATGTAGGTTACTTATGTAAAAAAAACCAAAAACAAACAACAACCACAACCAAAAACCAAACACAGTTCTAGGGTTCATCAGAAGGGATATTTGCAATAGGAATCGGAGACATGCCATTTACAGGACTTTATGATTTTTTTTCTATAAAGATATTCAAATCAGAATAAGTACAGTGAAAAACTACAAGGCTGTCAGAAGTGACTGAAAGCTGCTGCCTGTTCCATCTAGCAAGCAAAAGCAGTAACAAGACATATCACAGGAAAATGTGACAAAGAGCAAAACACAGAGAAAGACAATCCTGACCAGGAGGTATAAGATTCAGTTTATTAGAAATAATCTTTTGACTTCCATTCAGACAAATGAGATTCTGAAAAATTCCTCCTGCAAAGGTAACGGATGCAAAAGATTAAGCTAGAGCTTGATCCTTTGCTTACGAGGGTCCATTATGAACCTCTGTGGTTATGGGTAACTGGATTGGAACAGGAATCCCAGAAGGTGCTTTCCAATCTTATTTTCCTCAGAATGTTTAGAAGAGCAAATACTCATCTTAATGAAAATTGGTTATGCAGGCCTAATCTTTAATGAAAAATATTGTAATTTTCAAAGAAATCAATGTGAAGAAAGCCACAGATCACATAATATTTAGATTACAGCAGAAGCAAAAGGAAACGGACTACAACACTTACCTCATTCTTTAACTTGCTTCCAGAGAACCTTTGAAAATAAACACATTTGATTAGTTTTTCATAAGAAGAACATTTTTAGAATTTGTGTATACATATATATAAAAAATACATCAATTAGAAAAATTATCACATTTCTCCAAATGTGACTATAATCAAAATCATGATTTTTTCTTAACTTCTTCCATTGGTTTGCAAGTGCCTGAGGATATCAGGAAACTTACTGATGTCTTCCAAAACATGACGATTCAGATTATTGACCAAACAGTAGAGTATAAAACCAGTTTCAGTTTTTTCTTTGCATCTTTGCAACTCCACTGATATCAAAAGGGCAGCGTAAGTGCAAGTCCATAAGGTCTTTACCAGGATATAAAGGTTTTGATAAAGCTAAGTAAATTCAGAGTAGAAAAAATATACGTAGAATTTATACTTCTCAGGAAAATGAAGAAATCATAGTGATTTTCCATTCTTTTTCACTACAGTATTATTTTGATGCAGGTGAAATGCATTTCTGAGATCAGATTCATTAACTATCAAAAAATGTATTGCAGTACAGTGAATGTTCTATTAAGACTCCAGTTCAGAGATTCCCAGTGAAGTCATTGGACTATCAGGCAACTCCAGCACAGAAATTAGAAAGCACACATTTTAAATTATAACAACTAAGCTAGAGAATGTGTAATGATAGAGGTTCTAATGGATCCGTATAATGAGAAACATTGTTTGATTATTGTTATTTCCTGTTCTGCTAGCTAACAACTGATATGATACTGTGGGCAACTTGAAGTCTTATAATTATTAGCAGCAATACTGTGATTTCATGCTGTTGAGATGCTCTGCTGGCAGGACAGAAAACTAGAAGCTTAGCAGCTGTGGAATTCCTCTTGCCCAGGCACCTTACAGTTCCCATCATGTGATGATCCAGCATATGTTACCTATAGAGTTCCCTTGGTTGTCGATAGATGAGTATGAAAGAAGGCATCACTCCATTGATTATAACATGGAACTAAATAGCTTCACAGCTGGATGTATTTGTTACAGACTGTGCAGCAAAACGTGCACAGAATGTACAGTAGAAACACGAGGCAGCATCTGCTAGCAGTGCTCCTCCAGAGTCGCTAGCTAAAGGTATCCTTCACACAGTGCTGTGGATACTAATGATTTTTTGTGTTAGATGTAGTCCTTTCACAGTGCAAGGCTTGATATTTAAAGGAACCAGGAGGTCAAATTTACAGTGGAATTTAAGGATTTGGGCATCTACAACCCTGCATTTAAGGACTATTGTACTCAGCTCAGTTACCCAGATGTCAATACATGAATGCCAATTAAATCTGAAATGGCAGTAGAGGCCTGTATTTAGGCCACTAAGCTGAGGCCCACTGCCCCTTCTAACCTTTTGACCAGCTGCCACCTAACATGCAAGCCTTGTGGTAAAGGCCTCTATATGCCTGCATTTGTGCATGGGCACGGTGTGACATTGCCTACCTGGATTTCTCCAAGCCTTGACACACGGTCTCCTCCTAGAAACACTGGTGGGCTATGGTCTGGACAAGTGGTCTGTGCAGTGGTGGGGAACTGGCTGTCAGGCCACACCCAGAGGGTGGTGGTAAATAGCTCCTTTTCAAACTGGAAACCTGTCCGAAGTGAGGTCCCTCAGGGAGCGACATTGGGCCCAACACTGTTCAATAACTTGATAAGTGATCTGGATGATGGGATTGAGTGTACCCTGATGAAGTTTGCTGATGATACCAAACTGAGTGGGGAAGTGGACACTTCAGAAGGGAGAGTCACCCTGCAGGAAGACCTGGATAGGCTGGAAGGGTGGACTAACAAGAACCTTATGAAGTTCAACAGACAAGTGTAAGGTCTTGTGTCTGGGAAAACACAATCCAGTAGTGCAGCACAGGTTGGGATTTACCCGGCTGGGGAGCAGCTCTGTGGGAAGTGACCTGGGGGTCCTGGTGGACAAGCAGCTCAATATGAATGAACAGCGTGCTACCACTGCAAGGAAAGTCAACTGGATGCTAGGTTGCATCAACAAGGACATCACTGTCAGAGATGATGAAGTCATTATCCCATTCTACGCAGCATTTTTGAGGCCACGCCTGGAATACTGTATTCAGTTTTGGTCCCTGCTATACAAAAAAGATGTGGACAGGCTGGAGAGGGTCCAGAGAAGGGTCACAAAGATGATCAAAGGACTGGGAAGCCTGCCATATGAGGAAAGGCTGAGAGAACTGGGTTTGTTCAGCCTTGAGAAAAGAAGGCTTAGGAGAGATGTTATCACCATGTTCCAGTATTTAAAGGGTGTCTACAAAGAAGATGGAGACTCCCTTTTTGCAAGAAGTCACACGGAAAAGACAAAGGGTAATGGGTACAAGTTACTCCTGGGGAGATTCTAATTAAACACAAGAGGAAAATTTTTCACAATGAGAACAGTCAGCCATTGGAATAATATCCCCAGGAAAGTGGTGGATTCCCCAACACCGAACACTTTTAAGATTCATCCAGACAGGATGCTGGGCCATCTTGTCTAGATCATGCTTTTACCAAGAAAGGTTGGACCAGATGATCCTTCAGAGGTCCCTTTTGACCTGGTATTCTATGATTCTATGATCTGACACTACTATCAACCCACATATCTTCCCTGCCTACTTCTGCCCCAAGCTTGTTCCAGGAACCATTTTTACAGTTGATCCCCTAGAACAGATATCAGACAAAGGACAGATTTTAAGACTGATCATTATATTCAGCAGCCAGCAACTGGGACATTCACTCTCAATTTTGAATCTCTACACTGCTTAACTCTTTCCTTACCTAGAAATTTGTTCTTAACCGCAGGCTGCTGCGTCATTCTCTTTGCATAGACAAATCCAACCACGATGACGGCCTAGACTGTGCAAAGTCAGCATTTGAGCTTCTGTCCTAAATCAGCTAGGGAGGCAGTTTGACTGCTGTACCCTGAAAATTCAACATCTCCTACATGACAGCACAGCCCTATCACAAAGAAAAGGTTCCTAACCAGTGAATCTAGTGAATCTAGTGAGTAGTCTTGAAAAATCTTAGAGAATACCTATGGCATCTTTATGTGAACATATGCCACTGGAAATTCAGCCAGGAGGAATTTTGCAGAACCTCCACTTTATTTGTATTCATTGCTGCTAGACTGTGCAAGACAGAGCTTTGCATAGAAAGAACACTGGCTGACACAAAGCTGAGGACTAAGAGTGATTATATTCCCTTAAGTGAAAATAACTGTGTTTTCATCAATTAAATGAGCAATTTGTTCAAGATAATTCTGTATTATGAAGGAACCTCACGTCACTGTGTATCAGCAACACCTCTGCATAAATACTGGAAATGGCATATTCCGGTCTATTATACATTAAGTCCTGCAGTGGAGAGATCCCTCTTTCTAAGCATCATTGGCAACATTAACCTCAATTTTTATACTTGCCCTGTTGTTTGGAAAAAGGGTCTTTTGATATAACCTAAATTTGCCAGCAGTTGAATTTTCTATGTGTGATTATGAACTCATTTATTCCTTTCCTTTCTCAGAGTCCCCACTTATACAGGTATAAGGCCATAGACAATGAAAGCCGTCATTCAAGCCATATGTGAACAGAGACATTTGTTTTATGAACTATTAATCTTTGGCAAACCAACAGGCAGCTATCGTAACATATTGATCCTGCTAGCTGTCCCTTAAATAAATATAATTAGAGCTTCCTGGGTTAGGTTTAAACTGATATTAGCCAGTCAGAAGACCTGTAAATATTAATCTACACTGAACCCTCCCTCCTGCCCACAGGTGCCAGCTTCACACCATTCTCCAGACGTTTCATAATGGCAAGCTGTCTTGCGGAAAGAACTCAGAGGGTGACACACAAGCAAACAAAATGAGACAAGTGTTCTGGAAAACTGCCTCACACGAACTTGAACAAATCCTCTGCTGGCCTAAGTTGATGCAGCTCTATACTGACTGCAGTGGGGCCACACTGGAAGACACTAGCAAAATATTTAGATCAACCTCTTAAAACAAAATCAATGTCTTTAGGGAGCAAACTGCCACTTAAATCTAGGAATGGCAAACATTGAGATATGCAGCAATACAAGTTGTGGTATCAACAAAAAATAGCATCCTACAAATACCCTCCTAAGGGAAGGTTAACATTAGACCTTCACTAAGTCTCAGCAGTTATGTTATTGTACCTGGTTAAGCCTTTTCCAGAATACACAGAATGGTAGTATGCACTGCTTTCTTTAATGCCAATTCCATAATAGTGATACCTATGGGAAAAAAAAGAGGAGTGTTTATGAGTAGCGTGTCAAGTAAAGGAACCTACCAAATTGATTTTCAATGCTTTCTGAAAACTTTTCTTAACAGCGTCTACCAAATCCTTTCACTGACATGGAACAAAATCTGGTCTCATAGAAAACAGTATTGTCATGATTCGACCCAAAATTCAAGGCTACGATCTTCTTTAAAACACTTTCTCTCTTACAAGAATGTAGCTGGAACAGCAAATCTCCTAGAAACATGTTACGTCCCCTTTCCCTAATGTATATTCTCTTTCATTTTACTTTGTTGAAAGTATGCTGGGTTTGATCTACCAGGTTTATTTTATCAGGCTTACCACTGCTATATTTAGACAGTCCCACAGAGCACTCTTCAGTTGAAAATAACTTGCCAGTGTACCCTACAAATTACTGTTCAGCCTCCTATGACTAAATATGCTAACATGTCATTCATTCATTCTTCTCTCAGGTTGTAGGCTGAGCAACTCTGCTGAATTATTTAGCTGCTTAAGCAGTTTTCATACACATTTTTTTTCTCCGTTGCTGCCCTCCTGGAGATTACTGCTCGCAAACAGAGCTCAAGGAAGGAGACATATCTATTGCTCAGCCTCTGCAATGCTGAGCCAAACACCTTAACCAAAGAGACTAAAGAGGGCGGGTTGGTGCTACGAGAACTGGCTATGCAGAAGATACTTACTGCTTTCCACTGATTTTGCTACAAAAGAAGTGACCTTCAGGAGAAGGGCAGGAGAGCAAGCTGGGGGCAGCTATTTCTTTACCAGTCATAGCAAAGTTTGCTTGAGTTCATCTGTCAAAGGTGATAGGCCCTGTCCTATAAATTCCACTTAACAGATTTTAAAACTGATTGTGTTTGTCTAAGAATGTCATGGACAGTATTCTCGGGATCATTTCTTTTTTTTACTAAAGGTAGCTTGAAAACACCACGGCAGCTGGTTTAACTGAACTGCTTCAAAGGAACACTTGCAGTTCAAGCATCTGGCACATAAACCAAGCCTAACACAGGGGTATTAGCTTTGCAACACATTGCACTAATTTCACTGAAACTTCTCAAAAGCTTGAAGAAATGCACTCTTAAGACACAAACCCCTCAACAAATAGTTTATAGAACACATAACCAAAAGTTTTCAGCTCATCTCTGCTGTTCCTGGTGACACCCATTATAAAAAAAATCACAATCTTACTGTTTGTTCTTGTATGGGACACTCACAGATAAGAACAAACCCTTCAAATGCTTTATCTTTACAAAGCTGACTAAAGGCATTAGATACAAATGATATTTAAGAAAACGTTCATTAGGATGATATATTTGCTTAGCCTATGTAGCTTTGAAAATCTCAGCTGAAACAGTCATTCTCCTTCTGGACAGTCTGTTGCATGCATTCAGGATTTTACAGTCAAGAAACATGACAGAAAGTGGCTGCTGCTAAACATCGTAGTTTTTACTCTTTGTTTGAAACTGATGAGTCTACATAATACCACTTAGTTTTCTTGCCTCTTAAGTGTATTTTTCTGAGGGATGGTGATGTGGTGAACTGACCATTTTAAAATACCTGTTAATACTCAGAAGCTCAGACATAAGACCGCCTTCTCATAACAGTTCCCTTTTTATCCATTAAAGTCAGAGCTGGCTGATCAAAGCAAAGTGACACCTCAAAGTGGTTTAGGATGCCAACGGGACCTTTCACTAAACTTCACAATGCTAGACAGTTGTCCTCCATTTCACATACAGTATTGTGTCACCTGTGTTGTGAATTAAAGTCCTGAAAGTTTTCAACCAGCACTTCTGGTTTAGTAGCATTAAACAGATAGACTTGGGCCAAAGACCTGGGTCTGGAAATTCCTAATATTTGACAGAGTTCTGACACAAATGCTAAAACCATGAACATTTTTTCTTCTTTCATGAATATGAAATAATTCTAGACATGACAGAAGAGGTATTGAAAATATAGATGTATGGATTCTTTGACCTAACAGCATTTACTTAGTCTTGACAGGATGAAAAACACAATAGAGCTGTGACTGCCTCTTTAACAATGTTACCTGCACATTTGTCATTGGTCATGTAAGCAAGCAGTTGCCCACATCTCATTCCAACACCCTAAATCTCCCAGTTTCAATCACATGCCATTTTTTAAATTCTAAAAATAAAACTTCACACTTTCACCGCAAATTCGGAATTTCCTCTTGCTAAAGTTGGAGTGGGTCAGAGGTCAAGGAAAAGTATTGCTCTTTACAAAGTTAGGATTCAGTATCTTGATTATTCAATATCTAATTCAATATTAACATATTTGGGCTAGAAATTGGCACTCTTGCATGATTTGGATTCCCAGGTTTCCAGTGGTAGGCAAAAATACTTGTCCCTGCTCTAGAATGCCCCAAGATATCAGAATTTACCATTGCCACATTTTACTATATGGAGAACAGATATTTTAAGTACCTACTCAGTATGCCTTAAAGGAATAGCAGTTATTATTTTAACTTCACTCAGTGATTTCTGTAGTTCAATTTTTAGTTCTAAAAAATACAGCTTTCCAGTCACAACACAAAAGCAATTAAAAAAATTATATTCTGTACTTTTCAAGCTCTGCCCGGAATACTTCACAGAGTAATGAGGTATAAAGATTTTTATTCTCTTACAAGCTAAAGCCATTAGCTAAAGAGATTATTTTGGATTCCCTGTTGAGAGTAGTACACCCATCCCAGACACATCGATACCATCTCTAACCTACAATTTCAAGTACCCTCTTTCTGTCTCTTCATATGCTATTTCTATGTGTATGTACAGTATATATGTGTTTTCCTTCTATTGTGCAATTACTAAAATGAAACCAGCAATCATAAGGAACTTATTCTCAAGTTTCTTAACAAACCTTTTACTAAACAAACTGAAGTGCTTTCCTCTTTTCATTTCAGTGGTTTGTTGTAACATATGTTCCTACGCAAGTAGTAGCCCTGATTTTAGCATACACTGACACAAATGATGCTGATAAGGAAATGATAGGCTTAAGTTGTTCAGGGACTTGCAATAACTTGTTATCACAGGGCCAGTTGCCATATCAGTTTTATTAACCCACTAAATCACTCCTAATAAATAAGATAATAGTTTTCAGACATGATGGATAAAAGCTAAGATTCATCATTGATCAAAGTCTACAAAGAAATTAAATTGTAACTTGAGCTCAAACAGTCTTCTGTGTCATCTGAGCAGTATGTACATTTTCCCGAATGGCTGCTCCAGGTAATTTGTGTACCATGAAGATTATAACTGAATTCTAGCAGTGGCCACAGCATGTTCAACATTACCTATGCAAAAAGATGGATCCAGAACCTGCTGCACAGACAACTGTTGCTTATGAAATACTAATTTAAGAGCAGTTTGCCATATTTATTGTGCTGGGTCTTCTCCCACTCAGCAGGGATATGGAAAACTTCCCCTGCATTCAGCCATCTGGAGTGATTAGCACAGGCACGAGAGATGAATGAACTTTGTTAACAAAATTGTATCCAAGGTTTTGTACCTCCTTGGCCAAATGTTTAAATGAGTGTTTTTGTATTGACACTTCTGTACAAACGGGTTGTTGGATGTAAACGCAGAGAGAGAGACTCTGACTCTGAGGATCAAAGTTCTAGGATTTGTTAGACCCATTTTTAAGTCTCTCCTTTGCCCAGAACTGGAGAGGACAAATGTTGCTTGGAATCAGAGGAGGAACTAACATTTGTATATCTATCTCACACCTTAGAGCAGCATCCGTATCCCGCACCTTAGAGCAGCAGATCTTTCTCAGACCCAATTCATGCTCATGAGAATGCTAGAAAGAGCTTGACCTTGTTTTGGTGTGGGAGAAAAACAATTTCTGTCACCTTAAAGATGACGGAAAAGGGAACCGATTTTCTTTTCTTTCTTCTGACCACAGCCATGCTCTATCAATACGTTACTGTCTATGAGCTAGCTTTTCTTTGCAACGTAAGAACATTGATTCCATTGGAGAGGAATTGTCTTTTTCCTTCCAAGCTCTTGCAGTATCTGGCTCAGTAGAGTCCTGGACAATGATCAGAGCTCCTAGACAATACTGCCACACGAAACATCACTGTCAGGAATAGTTAGTACTATTACTGCTCCTACTAACATTATATTGAATTTACGATAGCAACAACAGAAATAAAACAATGTCACTACATTACCATGCTTAAAACAATAGGATTTAATCGCTGGTAAGAACTGCCTCCTAGCAGTCCCACTAACCCAGCTTTATTCCACACAGAAAAAGCTTACAACATTTAGAGTCCATGTTGTCATAAAAGCATAGGGTAACTAGTAATTTACTGAAACTGATGAACAGCTCATTAATTTGCTTACTAACTTAATGGAAATACTTCTTTAAATTATATTTGTGTAGCTACCTGCTAGCTGGTGAAAGCAGAAATGAATTTGCTACTCAGTGAGTCTGACAGGAATATGATCCACAACATCAGAGACAGATAAATAGATAATCAGAAATAAACAAATAAATAATCAGAGATTATTATTTATATTGCCACTTCTCTACGACTACTTGCTGCTGTATTCGGTCTCTGAACTGGAGATATCGTCACTTGTGCCTCTTCTGAGGTCCTTTTTTGCAGCGCAAGAAAACGTAAATGTATCTTAGTGGAAATAAGAATTGCAGAGGAAAAGTCTCTGAGGAAATTCTGACTAAAAAAAAAAGAGAAACAAATGCCATATGTTCAAACAAAACCTGCTGATGCCTCATCCGTTGGAGGAAATTGTTCAAGAACAGTTAATCCATATGAAAATATGGCACATAATACCACCGAGGTCAGTAGGGATACGAGATCTGCTGAAGAAATTATGGGCATGAGGTATTTCTGTGCCCAGGTATTAATACTGTTAAATGTCTTAGAGAAAAAGGGAATATAGTGACATATGTCCCAGTGCAACTAATTTTGTAGCTAAATTCCCATGTCAAAAATTAGATTTGAAACATAATCCTTTACTTAATAGACATTGACCTACTGTGCTTCAATATGCAGACATGTGATACATTTTGGAAGTTTGGATCTTGACTGAATCTTGTTTATCAATTCATTAGATATGTCAGTTCAAAAATACAATGAACATTTGGGAGACGTGTATTGCCACTTCTATTCTTTCATTCATTGTAACTTGAAAGTGATTCTCCAAATATGTTAGGTTATGAACCTGACTAAGACTTACTTAACCAAGGCATTGATGAGTTAGTAGATTGTCTGATATTCCTGCACAGATTGTGTATGCCAGATGTCCTAAAAAATTAAACACAACACCAGCAGCAAATGTTCATCTGCAGAGATGACTAACTCTACATCAGCTTATGCCTGTAACCATAGGTGAACTTTACCACAGCAGACAATATACTAAATCCCTCTTTTCCCCTATAAATAACCTTTCTAAAAGTAATTCTCCTCAAAAACCTTCTATTCAGCATCAGTAGGTCATCTACAGAAAGAGAAATTAACTTCAGTTCCAGCTTTCCTCTATACAATTCAGATTGTGTACTCTCTCCTGAAAAAAATTAATGGATTACAAATTTGTAAGACCATGTCAGAAACTATGCAAGAACTGTTCCCTGTTGAAAAAAAAAGGAAAAATATTCTATGCAGGCTTTCTTTCCTTTGGATTTTATTTTTGATTATTTAAAATAAATACTTGAGACATAATCAAGAAATAGAATGTCATGTAAAAAATTGGAATTTAAATTCTTCCTCACCTTTGTTTATAGTGCAACAAAGCCTAAAATCCACAAATGACATCTCTATGCATTCTTCAGCAAAACTAAGGTGGAATTAACTAGCTACTTCTTATATTTCTAAGGCACGAAGAAAATCAAGCATAACAACATGAAACAACCCTCCAAAATTATAAAAGCAAACAATGTATCTTTCAGACATTCCTAGTATATTGCAAAGCACTTAGAAAAACCACAGTCTTGTAGTTTTCCTTTCCAGTGTCCATTCATTTTGAGTTTTGCTTATAAATTACTGAAAGACTTTGTCTTTCAAGGCTAAGTCATTCAAAATAAAGACTTTTCCCAAACAAACAGAACGTTTGAGTTTCTTCTATTACTACCAGTATTCTGGTTTTCTATCTTATTCCTTAGCAAAAATGTTTCTTTGCTAGTTTTCTGGGTTTTAGTTTTCTTTCAGTAAACCATCAATTTTTTGTGCTTTCTTCTATAAGTCAAGGATGGTTCTATGAACCTTATTAAGGACATAAACACATTTGTAATTTTAAGCATGAGAAAAATCCTAGGGCTACTCACGTATTAAAAGGCATGCATCTCCTAAAAGATAGGCATTAATAACAAATGTTTAATTTCTGTGTATACACAGAAAGTTGGACACAATATCTATCCTAATTTGCTCCTCGCAACAATGTCTTATTTACAGGAACACCTGTTTCGAAATCAATAGAAATATACAGATAAATTTGATTTGGGACTGAAAACCATTAAGTTTTCAGAGAGTTACTTTAAATGAACAAAATTATGTAACTAGTCCTATTTTATGTAGAATGCTATAGGCACACTATTTAGGTTTAAATATTTTTTAAAACCTGATATTGATAAAAACCAAAATAACAATTTAAAGCACAACACTTAGAAAAGCTCAAAGCCAGTCTTGGTTTCAGGGAATGCAGAGAACCGTTGTATTTGTCACTCCCCAAACAGGCATAGAAGTTTCTTAGAATTACCTAACTCATAGCTTGACACTAGCAAAACCTTAAATTATTTTAACTTGTCTACATTCCTTACATAAATACACCACAGTTTTTAATTTCTTTAAGCATTCCCCTATTAAAAAATGAAATCAGATTGGGTACAATTCATCAGTCCTTTCTCAGCAGTCTTGATATCGGGAGATAGGAGGGAGGGTGAATGCAAAGGAATATGTTTTTACCACTGTTCACTACAGTTATAACTTTATCATGGCCAAAAGCATAATGCCAGAACCAGATTTAACAGATTTCACCACAAGTGACATACAATTATCTGTGATCTATTCCAATCAACTGGATACACTATTTATTAAATGACTGCACTACGGGTTGTGTACTTTTCAGAGTTTTTATAAACTGCCCACTACAAAGAGCAGATGTACACCTTCTTCTCAATTTAAGCCTATGTGTTTTTCTAGTGTCTTTAAATTAATCCAAGCTGTTACGAACACAACGAAAGTTATTAGATTTTTAAAAAATACAAATAAAATCAGTTAGATTGCATGTTATTTATAGAAAGATGAACAGCTGTAAAAAAGATATATGTATTATATAATGTTTTTTATATATAGCATTTTGACATATATTTGCAACAAATGCATGGCTCTATAAAAATAATGACAAATTCTAGAAGCTTAATCAGTTTAATTTTAGAAGTTATGCCTGCAGTAATGTTTTCAAACTCTGTATCAGTTTCACCATGTACCTGAAAGTTATCACTTGCAGCTTGTCATCTGAATAGACCCCCCTGTCAATTAATATCTATGACAGAGACGCGGAAATACATGTCATTCCTAGAATGTATTCTGTAAGCGGATACACGGGTAATTGTGCCTTACTTTGAGTGACCCCTTGTTCCAAGCCGCCTTGTGGTAAGGAGAGGGAATTTCTGGCGAATGGTCTAAAGAGAAAATAACTGTATTAATATCTAACACTGGCATACTTAGCAATTTGTTCATGGAAAAAAATTGTAGTGCAAACATGTGGTCTAATGCAGTCTGTGAATAAATATTTATGACATTTATGTCACAACAGAAACAATTAAGCATGTTTTACGCTGCAGGCATCCTTCCATCCTCGTCCGTCTCACTGTGTACCTCCAAACTTCCAACCCATAAGCTCCTTCCCATCTGTTCTTCTTTTCCGTTTTCACTTCTACAACATAAAATCTCATTTTATTCTCCAGAATCCTGTCTCATTTGGGTCCCCAAATTACAACCGTATCTTTTGCTTCAGAGATCCAAACAGAACCAGGGAAAGGTCTGGCCTCTAGCTATTCTGTTTTCAACGACAAACAACTAAAAATAAACTGATTTTTTATGTGAAAAGTGTGACCTGACGGTTAAAGCAAATAAATATTTGCCTCATGGGTATTTCTGTGTTGTCCACTATCAAAGTGCTGGACAGCCTTAAACATATTCATGCCCACTGAAACCTTATGAAAGTTTCTGCTAGCTCTACACTAGCTCTATGCTACACACACATAAACAATTCACGTTACGTGATTTAATCCAAGTCAAGCAAAACATTTGGGCACTGGACTCCTGAGATTGAGACTAGTGCCCTAGAAGCATCCTACTTTTCCTGTAAAGAACAATGCAAAAGGTTTATTAAGTAAAAAAGTAATTCAGTAATAGAGGTAGATCTAATAGATACATCTAATAGAGAGACCACTGTCAAAACAATGTTTAAATAGAACCCTGTTGTCTTCGTCATTTATGCTGAAACTGTGTAATGAACATTAGACATACACGTTCTCAGTATATCCAGTTCATGAGGAAAAAATTAGTAAGTGAACATTTTATGAACTGGATTTTAAATCCATTATTATTATGTAATTAAATTAATGCATTTTGCTATGTATGAACAATGACTAGCTCAGCAGTGTTTAAAAAAAGATGATCCCTGAAGCATTTTTGGTTTCCTGTTTCACTAACTAGCCACGATTTAATTTGGAGAGTTCACATCTCCCTTTCACTAATTGATTTCATTAATTTATTTCAGGGAAGGGTAGAAAAGAGGATGAATCGACAGTTTTTCATTCAGGAGCTCTTTGTGTTATTAATTTTTATTCTCTTTCTTGTATTGGTTCTTGTGTCACATCTCACTTTACACTGCCTTCAGTATAATTAAAAGTGTCTTCCATGTCAGATCTGGTTTTGTGGAAAGTACCCTATTAACATCATCACCAAAAAAGAAGGGAAAAAGATTAAAAAAAAAAAAAAAGCTCCTGGAGACAATGCGTTTTTAAAATAAAAAAGAACAATAAACCAAAGGTAATTTCAGCTTCACCTTCCTCTGAAGTGCTGTAACGAAATCCCTTCAAACCGAACAGTGTAGTTAGTCTGGTTCCATGTACGTTAGCAGTAGAAAACATGTGAATTTGAGAGGCATTTGGACACAGGTGTACTAAATTGTCATTCTGTCAAAGACTTAGGCTAACAAATTATGAAGACATTTACTCCTTACCTTCCCAAAAGTTGCAGCACAGGCAGGTTCCAGCTTCTCTTTTCTGCAGAAGTCTAAATAATGTGCATAAAGGATGCATCTTGGTAAACAAACTCCTTCACAGACAATGTAGTTTTCTTCCAGCCTGTACAGAGAAAGAAATTGCCAGAGTAAGAAGCAATATGGTATTCTCCCTATTTTATTTTCCTTTTGGTTTTTTTGGTACTGCCTTTTCTTTTTTTTTTTTTTTTTTTTTAATTTTACTGGAGATTTCTGTGAGAGCATACAAATTAGTTTCTACTGAACAAGACAGACACTAGAGACTTACTCCATACTTGGTGCTTAGGGTAGCTGCAGAATACAGAAAACCTGGGTCCAGGTCCCTTTTCTTAATGAGTTTTTTTTCAATGTCTGGATTCTTTTGCTTTCTGTAAATGATTAAATGATCCACATTTAAGAGCTAGCCTTGGTCTGAAAATAAGAGCACTAACTAGACTATGAAAGACTTGGGTTTGCATCTGTCGTTTGACTAGAGCAGGGGCTTGAACTTGCATCCTCTGTCCCACTGTATCTTCATACTTTTGCTTTTTTTATTTCCACACTGGACCTGAAACTGTTTCTTGACCAAATCATACCAAAAAGGAAAAAACTGTTTTTTCTTTCTGAAGAGGATGCATATTTATGTAGCTTTCCAATCAGTTTACAGAATTCAAGTGCCTAGTGATGGCCACTAAAGTAAAATTTTTAAAACAGAACTAAAAAACTGGTTGTCTTCACTTGAACTGAACTCTTGGTATCAGCTGGGTATTCCACTGTTGTCTTGTTTCTTTTCTTTATCAATTTACATTATTTGCTACTCCTGGGATGATGTGCAAGAAATTTATTTCTCAATTACACAATTCTGTAAGAAAAGACTGAGTAGTAAATGCCACATACTGAATAATTTTGCACTGACTCACCAGACCCAAATCCTTACAATTTATGCTCAGAAGTCAGATGCAAACTAGATCAAGAAACTGGCAAATTTGGATTACTCTTATTTTTCAGATAGCAGGAAAAAAAAAAATCTAGATTTGCATTTGGTAACCATGTTCCCATTTAATTCAACAGCACTCCTCCCTAATTTCAGGTGTGCTTTAATAGCAACTTTTATCAATTAATGTTTGCAGAATTTGATGTCTCATTTGGTTAATTTTTGCCCAGATAAAACAAAGTAAAGTTTGGGCTTTCATGGATGCTAGAACATCATGTAAAAACATACATTATAATACAGTGAAAACCCAATATTCATAGCTTTAAAGGATAATTAAAACATCCATTTACAAATGTAATTCTTAAGTAATGTTTCATTTCTAAGCTTTTTATACATTTCACTGAATTTCTACATTTCATCGATAGCCAGATATTGTGAGAATCTGACAGAGACTTCTCTTAACTGATAAATTTTGCTAGTTTAAAAAAAATCCGAAATTGGGGCTGTGTGTCCTTATTTGTAGACGAAGCTTATCCAAAACAAAACAAAACAAAACAAAATAAAAAACCAAACACCTCACAACCTCACAAATGACAAATATTTCTAAAATTGCTGTGAGATGTAACTCTCCCTCCCGGCTCAGCTTTTAAAGAAATGTCCCTTTGGGCCTGATGGACACACCGGCTCGGTCCTGCCGGTGGCAGCGGAAGACGCGGGGTGTCGACGTGGGGTGCCCCCGCCGAGCGGCCCGGCCGGTGGCCCCGGGACAGCTCCGGGCGCGGGCGGGC